ACTCAAACATTAGCTGAAGATAAAATGTTAGCCGTACGTACTGAGGAATCATAGTTGATGAATTCTGCTGCGGAAGATCTCAAAGATCCAAAAGGGGGCCTCGATATTTTGCTCGTACGTAGCCGCGATCAGTCTTTTCTTTTTGTTTTTCATTAGCATAAAATATGCAAAACCTCAACTCTTCGAAAGGATAATCGCCGTGGTTACATACTAGCATAATCAAGGTTAACTTTTTCTTTGCCATCCGTGAAGTATTTCTAAGAAAATGACGACCGCAGTTTTCTTTTGAGACTGTCTTTTGCACTGGTCGTACGTAGAAATATCTCCGATAATGACCTTTTCCTGTCCAAAGCAGAACCAAGGTTAGCAACGGTTTTGGGTTCGCTATCCTTTTCCTTGGTTTTGGAATCCGAAAATCGAACATAGGCTTGGTCGCTATGCACAGATCCTTTTGAACTCATATACATAGAATTAGTTGATTGCGAGGAGATGTTGTCGTTAGAATCTCTCACTGGTATCGCTTGATCAATAGGGCAGATATCGGTTTGATCGTCCTCCTCGAAGGCAGGGTTACAAAGCTCCGCTGGAGAGACGGAAGCCTCGGAAGACGAATTCCAGACACTCGTACTGGAAGTAAATTCATTTGAAGTGCGAAAGGCGTCAACGTTCATTGATAGCAGACCATCTGCCACACTTTTCTTTGGTGTAAATTTAAGCTTAATCGGCTTGCTGCGTCCGCTTTGTATCGCCTTACGGTAGCTGTCCCGCATGTCAAACATTCCAAGCGGTACGTTGGGAGGGAAGATGACTGATCGTGAGTTTTCAAAGCTTGATTCTCGCCGTAAGTAAGCGCTTTGTACCGTGCGTCCGTACGCGCTCTTGCTGTAGTCTGACAGCCGCACCTTTTTACAACACAATCCGAGTAAAATTTTTCGAAACGCTCGCCGAAAATCTTTGTTGCGGAAGCCATAAATAACGGGATTACAAACCGAATTTCCGTACTGAAGCCACTTGTTTACCGAAAGAATCCACGGAAAGTCGAAAGGCAAAGTCATAAGGCCTGAACAACCGGCTCCCTTGGACAATGTGGTCATACAAACCGCGAACCCGAACTTGAGGCCAAAAAATGGAGTCCAGCAAATGACAAAAAGGCCAATGACTACGGCTACTGTTGTAGCAATGCGCAAATCCTGAAACAAAAGCAACATCGTTAAATTGTGGCTTTAATAAAATCATAAAGCATACCAAACACGGTGTGAAAAGAACTTCTATTTCAATGGAGTAAACGACAAATAATCTACTCATCTATGTAGAATTCTAGATCAATCAAAAGAAGAACAGAAAATATTAACATAATTTTAAAAGCAGAAAAAGAAAACAAATCAGAAAAAAAAAACAACATCAACATAAAAAGAAAAGCGTCAGTGAAAACTATCTGGCCAACGACAAAATGCACTTTGCCTTAGTCTTCATCAGTCGTACTTCTATATAGTTTTTTTTGTGGTCTTCCGTCAAGTGACCATCCTATTGCATCGTTCATTGTGCGTTTCTTTGTGTCGCGGAAACCACTTTTGGTTAGCCGTCGTTAGTAATTTATATGAGCGTGTACGTCACTCCATGACACTGATTAACAACTTTTTGTTGCTAATGCTTGTAGAGCTTTGCCAGTGTTGGTCCTACATTAAAGAAAGATAGTGCACGTGCTTAAAATCAGCAACAACATTCAGCGCCATTGAATAGTTACGTAATGAAAGATAACGTTGTCGATAAGATCCTACGACTGATGAACATGATGCGAAGGCGGTTAGAGTATTTTGAAGAGTTTGGATCCGCTGTCCCTGTACAGTTTAAACATCTTGTATTTGTGTTGTATATTTTTCATGCTAAGTTACTTTATATCTCCCACGGGGGATGCATGGAAACTTCTTTACGGTGCGAACACCAAAGGGACAAAGTCAGGAGCCCGCAAAATAAAGTGTCCATTATTATACCGATAGGAACTGCATGAAGGGTACTATCTTTGGGAGCAAGTGAGCTGTAAGTAATTGCCTAATTTCATGCCGCGCGGCAGGCTGGCACTACCGGATTTTCCCGGACTTTTTGTTTTTGGCTTCCAAAATAGAAGGTAAAGCAAAGGTTATTGCGTGCAGTTGAAACGATATTAAGGGCCAGATTACTCCAGAAAGTTAATTTTCTCAAGCTAAGAACAGTTGGTTTCCTGCTATAAAGAACCTCGATTAAAAATTTCGAGAAAAGAAAGATCTAATCGGAGACTTTCGCTACTTGGAAGTATTAGAAGGATTCCCGAATTGTTCAACAAAAAATTTGAACAAAGAACCGTCGAGTTTAACTCTTTTTACGGCGCTGGATGCAACCGAATATTGGGGAATTATAAGGGAGTGGGTGTACCTACTTTTACAAACCGTAAAATAAAAACTACCAAAAAGCGAAACACGCAAGAGTGACCCCGAGTGAAAGGGCAACATTGTATATTAGTGTGAAAGGTTTGAACCCAGGAGTCATTTCAATTACAATTACAACACGGACTTTGTTAGACGGAACACTCACAGTAACACTGATTCCAACACTCAGACCAACTCTGGCCCTGTTACGAAAGCGACTATACCGTACGTCAGAGGCACCTCTGAAACTATTGCATGTATATTACAACCTTACAATATACGTGTTGCAACACAAACCGATAACCACTTTACGGCGACTGCTTACTAATGTCAAGGACAAAGACAAACCGGAGGACAGACAGGGAGCAGTGTAAAAGATCAAATGCTGCGACTGCCAGGCTTCTTACATTGCTGAAACCGGCAGAAACCTAAGCACGCGACTGACCGCACACAAACGAGCGACGAGGAATGGTGACGTCAACAATCGCATTGCTGAGCACCATTTAAAGACGAAACATCAAATTGACTGGGACTCTGCGAAATGTATAACGTATTCTACAGACTACTATCAACGTCTTACTTTAGAAAGCTGGTTTACTAACTTAGAACAAACGCCACTGAATCGTAGCCAACAGTTACCAGCGCCGTACAAACGACTTATTGACGAGATCAAGCAAAACTAACTACGAGAGAACGACTGGAGAACTGACAATTTGACTAACAAAAGGCAACTGTTTAACTGTGACAATAGACGGATCGAAACGCACCAATTACTGATTACGAGTCTTCATAGCCAATATCATCACGGCTTAACTGACAGACGACTAATAACATCGCGACATAATTGACTAATCAGATCAATAACCAGAGTATATTACCATCAACTGACGTGATACAACTCACTTTGACTCTGAAGATGACTACCGCGCAGGTTGTCGAAACGTCAGTCCCTGTCAACAACAACAGTCCTATTCAGGACTACGTTCACCCGGACGATCAAACTCAACCTACTATTGCATATTAGGTCGGCAAGGCTTACATTAAATTTTCTGCCCGTCGCTGTGTACGGTCTCAATAGAAATCCTAAAGATCAGACCGGAAACAATTCTCACTGAACATGGATAAAAGCAAGTATACTCCGGTCTTACTTGAGAGGCATTTCTCGTCCGGTAACACTGCAGTTCATGTAATTTGCGCAATCAGCTTGTAATCACAACCAAGAATGTCACGTACATCTACCTTTTGGCTAGCATGCACTGAGTACAGACTAGCCCCTTATCTCCCCTTATCTCCCTTCATGTGAACAACACTGGGTTTAACGTACATAACGCCACAAAGTTCACTACACTCACGGACATTACTCTTTTCCGTGACGGGAATAATCCAGGTAAATCAGCATACTTAGGCTACGATTGGTACGTGTACAATCACATCTGTGTTCTTTCCTGCAATGATCCTATACTTTTCATATGCGGGTAGAATTAAACAGAGGATCCTTTGCGGTAGAAAATTTAGAACAATGTTTGGTTCGAGCGACATGTTCATCGAACAATTGCTTGCACTTGTTGAGTGTCGGCTCCTTAAGTTAAGCTTCAGGGCATGGCAGAAATACTGCATCCTTTCCTTACTAAGTTTAGACAGATTCTCCGAGGGAATATTGATCAATATTTCGTCTAAAAAGAATGCTTTCGTTCGAGTTTTTACTCCGACTATCCGCCATTTTGAAACTGGACTTTTTTAAAAAGTCCGGGAAAATCCAGTAGTGACAGGCCCCCGCGCGGTATGAAATTAGGCAATAGAGGTGTCTGTCAGAAGAGGTTTGACTATATCCCGGAAATCATTTCCCTCAGTTACTGTAAAACTGAACTGAATTAAGCGGTCACCTCCAATAGGCGGTTACGTTACTATTAGACGGTCACTTTGACAATATGTACGATACTAATGCATTAGATACAGTTTGTAAGGCGTTTATTGGTCTCTTACCTCCTTTTATGGCACAAGAAAAAGGCCTAGGCACTTTGAGGTAGTTTTGTCGCGGGTTCGCTCTTTGACCATCTTTATTTGCTTGAACAACTCTTAGGTTTGTCAAAGTTGTATTAAACCGTCAACCTATATTAAGCGACCAGTAAGCCATTCCCAAAGAGTGACCGTATAATACAGGTTTGACAATATATGTGTTTTTTGAGAACGTTAGCTATAATTTTCATGAGATTGTAACATATTACCAAAACATGGACTATGATCACTGGTATTTGGCACTGGGTATCATCGAGAAAAAGCACACATGATAGTGATCATACAGCCAGTACGGTCCAGTGGTAGAATTCCTGTGACTATCAATAGCAATGGCAATAACAATAGCATAGCAGAGTACCTTTTTGAAAGAACTGACGCCTCTGCCTCGTGCATGCGCTCTAGCTATGTGAAAGATCGTACCATAAGCTACCAAAATAACGATGAGTGGTGTGAAGAAGAATGCGACAGTTACAATTATGCCATAGAATTTCTTTTGTTCCAAGGGTAGAAATTCTATCATTGATCCAGCTAATGAGGAAAGAATCCATACAACGACGATTATGGCAACCACAGACCCTGTAAACAACAAATAGACAAATGGTCAAATATGACTTATAACTTAATGGACGGTTTAGTATGGAATATCGAGAGAGATTTTTTACGTGTCATGTTGCATTTTGTTACTGAGTCAGAAGCGCACGATATCACAAACTAAAACGATCAATAGAAGACCGAACTCAGGAAAGTGGCGGGAATCGAGCTTAAGGATATGTCTGCAAAATACAGGATAGCCTTTAGTGCCGACATGAAAAGCTATCCGGGAAAATTATGAACGGTAACGGCACAGAACAGTAACAAGCCCGGTTTACACACATCGAACATCGCCGGTGCGGTTGACCGAGAGGATCTGCACCAAATTCCAATCCTCACAGTAATATTTACTTCAGTCTCAATAGGTTCCACCGCTCGCTTCGACAAAGAGCGGCCGAAACGTCTTTGACATGTGACGCCGGGTCCACTATTTGACATTTCCAAGACCGGAGGTGAAGTCACCGTATCATGTGTGAACAAAAGCCTCATCCGGTTTGGTTGTCAGCCCAAAAGCTATCCGGTTTAGTGTGAACATGACCTTAATGGGTGTGTTTACTTACAAGAGGAACGCGTGACAAACTCAAGGGAAGTGACTTTACGCGCACGCTATATTTCATTGGTCAGAAATGAAAACTTATCAAACTGCTTTGTCTGGTAAATACAGTTTTTCAGAATTTTCGTCAACGCCTTGACAAAAAAATATTTGTCTACTAGGAAGAAAATAGACGAACGGTTTTCACATAAATCTCAGAGGAAAGAAAACTCAATTGAATAAATTCCAGTGCTGAGAAAGAAATTTTTTCTCAAATTTAAGGAGTGTCAACTGAAGAGCAATTTGCCAACAACGAAATGATAATTCATCTCTCAGACTTATACTGTTTACATGAAAGGTATGCAGCCATTACGACACCTGGCGGAGGATCATTCCTTATATTAAGATCTCTCTTTAGGGATAACCCACCCAGCACAGGAAAGGTTGGCCAAACCGCCAGGGTCTACGTCTTCTACTGTTTTCAGTGGTGTGAGTTAAGTGCTTTCACGTTCCACAAGAATCAGACAAGAAAAGGGCTATGAGACGAGACCTACAGTATTTCATCTTTTTTCGAGAAGACCAAAAAGTCTGAACATTTGCAGATGTTCTTACAAAGGCAGCAGGAAATGCATTTGCAATTGTTAGGTGGGCCTGAATATCTAAATGGACCGTGTTTCTTTCACAGATTGTTTACATCCCTTTTACATATTCCTCTGTTTCTTCTTGTTCTTTCTGGCATTTTCTTAAATTCCGTTAAGTGTAGACAGTTTGAATAATTGTGGGCATCATCGCGTCTCCAAAAAATCGTTCGGCCATAAAAATTCGGTAAAGTGAATAATCTTGTTTTAGTTTCTGTTTCCGTTTGTTTTTTAGTATGACAGATAGTACCCGTATTAGTTTAGTAGAGCTGGCAACTTGTCAATATAAACAATATTTAATTTACCGAGGGGCAAGCTATTTATTCATAGTAAGAAATCATTTATAGGCTTTATCCCGCTAACTTGATAGAGTCACGAATAGTGAAATTTCGGTTCATCAAACAGGTCATTTTGGTTCAAACCGGACCCAACCGATTTTATTAATTCCCTTTATAAACGCAAAAATTAGACCAAACTAACCCTCTTTTTTTTCTACGATACAATACTCTATCGATGTAAAAAGTATCAGCGAAAACGAATTTTGAGCTGTGTCCGCGATTTTGGGATTATCTCCGATTCTTACTGACATTGACTCTTAAAGCTTTGTAAGGCTTAGACCACTAACTATGATCAGATGTAATGTTGTAAAATCGACATGTACGGTTTTCTGACGTTCTTTACCTTATTAAGTACCAAGCACAAGTAAGACAAGACGTTTGTTACCATCCAACTAGTAAAGTGATGAGTGATTTTTCTGTTAACTCTTAATTGGCCGGTAGCAATGGGAGAAGCTTCGACGTCAGCAAAGTCTAAATGCTGTCGACGATAAATAGCAACAACTAAATACTTACGAAACTCCTCTTCAATATTTGGTACATCCAGTCGGAGAAGGGGAAATGTGTTCAAAAAACAGAAAACAGAGGCAAATTACAAGCGAGCTTCTTTGGTACCACACGCAAAAAAAACCACTTAACCACAGCTTGTTAAATGTCACACAGCGTATTTGTAAAATGAAACAACTTATCGCACATTACTGAAACAAGTCAAAACAGATAAAAATCGATAAAATGGAAATATGGCCACGTTAAAAATATGACGTTTTTTTCTATGAAAAAAAAAAAACACTGAGAGGGCTTTTCTGTCTCCGTATAAAGTGGACAACAGAACTAGAACGAAAGGTAAAGGGAAGAAAAAGAGAAAGAAATAAAGTTCGAAACAGATTCTCAAAAGAAGTTCGAAATCGAGCTTATGCGCATGCGCCAAAACAATCGTCAATCGTCATCATCCCAAGCTTTGTGGAACCATTTTGTGACTTTCTTTTTTTTGTTTGTTTGTTTGTTTGTTTGTTTTCTTCAGGGTTTTTGATGTTCACAGGATACACTAATAGTCAGGTGGCTTAAGGCTCGGATCAAGAGAGGATAAAGGGGACAGAGAAGGCATCCCCCATACATACCCTATTCCATAGGTAATTCGTTTCGAGTTATTTTTACAATCGGGATAAAGTTACCTCGCGCGCTGCGTGGATGTTTCGTGGAGGTTTCGCGTGACTAAACGTGCAAAACATGTCGGGCGAAACGCAATGAAAGCGTAAAGAGATCGAGAGCATTTCTGAATATTGAAGCGAAATGAGTCGGCGCTCACCTGGGAAAAGGGAATCACTCGACTCTTTGACAACCCGTGAAATCAGTTTAACTCGAAGTTATCGTAACCTCAGTGCTTAAACAAAATGAGAAATTTCGCTGGTCTATTCAAACCGGTCGTTTGTACAATAAAGCAAGTAGCAAGTAATATTCATGTACATGTAATTAGTTCTACAAATTTGAATTTTATTGTAGTTTTTTTAAGTTGTTAAGCGCTGTTGATCAGTGAATGTAAATAGCGCTCTAGAAGTTATTAAATTATTATTATCATCATTATTATAGGACGCCAAGTGTTATTTTTGTTGAATAATAAAAGACTAATGAAAGAATAAATATCAAACCAGAAATTGCTCTCTTCAAACTGTAAATTATACATGATCCTGAGAGAATATTCAGTGTGTTAAGGATTTCCCTGCTGTACTGTTAGCAAGAGAGGAGGGGGATTCTTTTTTCATTTCCGTTTCGCTGACACAGCTTTAGCAGAAATCTCTCTTTAGTCGTTTTCGTGGACAAAACGAATAGCAATATCGCTCTCCGCGTCTTCCGCCATTTTTTTCTGCCTCAGTTCGTGAAGGACGCGTGGCTCAGAGCGTGGGTCATCCACTCGGAACACATTCGCGCTACATGATTGGCTGTTGTCTAATCCCCCTTGGGATCTGTGGTCTTAAAAATAACTCGAGACGAATTACCTGTGGAATAGGGTGTGTACGGAGGATGCCTTCTCTATCCCCTTTATCCTCTCTTGCTCGGATCTATACAGAGCGGACAAAAGCACCAAACTTTGCATGGTTGTAGCTTAGGGCATGTTAGTCAATATTAGGATCGGTGCCCACAGCTACCTCTTCAGGATTTGCGGCATCTGCTCGCTGAGGTTCTTCAACAACCTTCCATGATGGGTGACTGTGCTGAAAATTGCAATCACTTGATTTTTGCCATTTTTGGATGAAAATCACATAAAAAGGCAAGTAGATGGAAAAAGAAACTGTATTAATACTGTTATTACTGACCGGAAACCAATGACCAAAACAAGTCAACTAAATGATATAGCAATAATGATATACCACGGTGCGTTCCCTGTGCTAAAAATATCAATTCCTTGTTTTCTGCCATTATTTTGATGAAAATCACATTAAAGACATGAAAATGAAAAAAGAGATTGTATAATTTATTATTGAAACCAATAACAAAAGCAAGTCAACTAAATGGAAAATTCAAGGAAGATGTTTTCAGACGCGTACTCAGTCCCAAATGGCCTTTCAAGATGGCGGCTTGAAGTTGTCTTTTCATGGACTGTAAGTATCTGCTAGAATGAATGGCCGGTTTTTTAGGGGAAATTGTGTACAATTTGAATCACGACAGGTTTAATTAAAGTTTTAAGCTCTTCTTGGTGATGAATATGTTTTCGAGAGCCACATTTTCACTTCATATTTTGTGAGGATTATGAATAACAGTACTGAGTGAACAAAAGCGAAAAAGGTGGCATATTTCGATCAAAAGCGAAAAAATCACACCTATCAACACAAAAGGCATTGTTTTCTAAGGCTGTGAGTACTCAAGGACTCCGTTTTTGTTCCATAAGCAAGTCAGTTGTCTTTATCAAGATAAAATCGATCGAGTAATACATGAGCCTGAATGTTTTGTTAATTAACTGTCAAATCTGGTAAAATAACTGTGACAAAAGAGCTTTCATAGTTCTGTTAACAGATTTGGGAGCTTTCTGCGGAAAATAAAGGTCTGAAACAAGCGCAAGATCGCAGTGTGAAAATGACTGTAAACAAGCCGCCATCTTGGGTCGAGCATGTGCTAAAAAATTCGCCTGGTTACCAAGTATCAACATTCAGTTCAAAACGATCGATGTCAGGTGATTTGTGTCGAATGCAAAATGATTTGATCGTTTAATACCAGCTTTAGAAGACGTAGAAGTCATTTAAAACCGATAACAAAAAAGAGGATGAGCAGCAAGAGCTTTTAGAGTCAAGGAGCGAAAAAATACGGTATTTGACCTTTACTGGCTTCATGTTAGCTATCATGTTGTTTTTAAACTTCTTTTGTCAGTTTTCAAATCACTTAATAACCTTTCCACCTAGCTATCTGGCAGACAAACTAGGTTATCAAAGGCACTCCAGGAACTTGTGGTCCGCATTTCAAAAGCGTTTAAAACCTCGAAAACTCACGGGGACAAGGCTTTTTCAATGTGAGCCCCTAAACTGTGGAACTCACTACCATTAGCCAGCTTTGCGCAAGTCACCATCTTTAGCTAGTTTAAAGAAAGGACTGAGAACAAATCTTTTAACGAAAATTTTAGAGAGTAAGTCAATATTTTTGTAAAACGTCTTTAATATCTGCAGACCATATACCTATACTTATAGAATGTATATTCATTTTTTTGCATGACTTATCATCATAATAGATAAACTTTAATAACAAAATAATTTTAAAACATAGAAATTTTTGTTTCCTTTTTTTGTTCTTTGTGAATTGCAAATAGATTTTAATATATGTTATTTCATACTTGAGATATATTTTTTCCCTCTTTTACATTGTGAAGCACCATGAGCTCAGGATATGAGCGTTATAGAAAGAAGCTATTTTTACTATTATTAATTTTAACCAGTACGAAAATAATCTCCGTATAGTCATTCATAATCTGCACAAAATGTGAAGCAAAGATGTGGCTTTCAATAGCAAATTTATTACCAAGAAGTGCTTAACACTTTACTTAAACCTGTCGTGATTCAAATTGCACGCAATTTCCCCTAAAAACCCGGCAATTTATTCTAGCAGATACTTACAGTCCATGAGAAGACAACAGTCAAGCTGCCATTTGGTACTGAGTACGCGTCTGAAAACATCCTCCTTGAATTTTCCATTTAGTTGACTTGTTTTTGTTATTGGTTTCAATAATAAATTATACAATCTCTTTTTTTTTTCCATTTTCATGTCTTTCATGTGATTTTCATCAACATAATGGTAAAAAACAAGGAATTGATATTTTTAGCACAGGGAACCCACCAGTATATCATTGTTGCTATTTCATTACGTTGACTTGTTTTAGTCATTGGTTTCAATAATAATAGTATAAATACAGTTTCTTTTTCCATCTATCTGCCTTTTTATGAAATTTTCATAAAAAAGTGGCAAAAAACAAGGGATTGCAATTTTCATCACAGGGCACCCATTATGGAAGGTTGTTGAACAACTTCAGCGAGCAGTTCCTTCAAATTCTGAAGAGGTAGCTTTGGGCACCGACGCTAATATTGACTAACATGTCCTAAGCTACAACCATGCAAATTTTGGCGCTTTTGTCCACTCTGTGTATAGATCTCGCCAAAGTTTTGCACTAAGCCACCGGACTATAAGCTCTTCTGGACCCTCTGCGTCAGCCAAGTTTGCGCGATCTTTCCTGCATGCCGAGAGCTCACTGGTGCTTGACGCTCCCTTGTCCCTGCCGGGTCAAGGGGACCGGGAGACGGCCTCCACAGGTCAAACTGAAAAGAAAGCTTCATTTCAGTACTGACATCCAATTAGCAAGAAAATACGTCCTTAAAGCTGCAAATCTCATCTTTAGTGATTTCCGTCACTAATTGGCGGGAAAAAAAAAACACAAAAAAACAAAGGTAATGAAGTAAAATGACCTTTTTTGTAATATGTATATTGTGAAGGAAGGTTTTTCCACTTTGCAACAAATTAAAGGCTCACCGAGAACTCGGTGCTTCGGCGCTCAACAAAACTGTGGGAATTAAAGTAGACTCAAATGGCAACTCGCTTTGGGGGGGAAAGCCGTCACATCTCTGTCATAGGACCGGAATCAAAACAACTAACTGGTACAGCAGTAGATAAAACAGAACTGAACTTTGGTTCCAACATCCCCAGTTTATTCTCATTCTCGGTAAATTAACTGGCCATAACTCTGGCTATACACGGCGAGCAATGTAATCAGCTCTAAAATCCAGCTTACTTATATATGATGTTTACAACCCCTGAAGACAAAAGAGAACAATAGAAATCCAAACAGAAATCGCTTAATAGAATTAAATGAAAACTAAAAACAAAATCTACTTTTAACTTGAAGTCTTTTGTTACTATTGCTATTTTAAAAAGTAAAAGTACTGAAACAAAGAACTAGCTAGGTCAGCAAAACAACAAATATGTACATGTACAAAGCATTACAATGTGAATAAAATTGCAAGTTCAGTTAGCGGCTGTTTAACCTGGAAGAAGCGCAGACTTATTGCCAGTTTTCACCTTAAAAAGGACAAATCTACCTCTGACTGAATTTATATAAACGTGATTTCAATGAGTGTCTTCAGGTCCTCAGCTAAGTATGTCCTTGTTACCAAAAACTTCACCCTCCCCACCCAGGGGACTGGGTAACCGACTGCGCCTCCCCCTGAGCTCTACAATTATCATGATAATTAGGGCAAAGTAAGAACAAGGTACTTGTCAGTCAAGCCTCTAGTAAACACTGCTCCTTACTGAAGGGGTTGTGTCAAAAGAGCTTTCTCTCTACCCCTCTAGTTTTGCTCTCCAGGTCTGATCCACCCACCCACTGTTAGGGCAGTCCCCGGGCTATCCGCTTGTGCCGCCGAGCAAGATGCGAAGCCCCCCACATTTTTGGAGACCACACTGGCCTGGTGTCCGGCGCCAGGAGAAAACCTTGTGGCCACGTTTTGACGAATTCAGACAGACATGTATTATGAAAAAATACAAGTTAGCAAAACTTTTCATATTCAAAACTCGGCTGTTGCCTCTATGTAACTACTAATGTAATGAAATATATATTGTTAAAGAAATATAGCTAAATTGCAATTAAAACTACAATCGGCGACAAAATGAGTTGAGACACTTCGCCCAAAACTGGGCTTTTTTACGTTTTATTAACTTGAAAGGGAGGAAATATAGCTTTCCTCCCCCATCCCCTCCGTGCAATGTTGTGCCCTTGTTCTAGCTACCTGTAGAAAACAACAAACACCCCAACTTTGAATGGAGGGGACACGGGAGGGGTGCGGATTCTTTTGTTCTCCGAAATTACCCTACTTAAGTACAATATCTCAACAATTTTGTCGCCGATTGTCTGAATCTCAAAAGTGGCCGTACGTCCTTTAGAAAGGTAATTGAATTCATTTCTTTATGCTGGGATGTAAGACCCCTGGTGGCTTTTCATTTGTTGTGTTCGACTTCATCATACCTATTTTAGAACAATTAGAATAAGGCGATTTCGTTATTTTCAGTGCGTGACATTTCGTGTCACGCTTAACCGTGCCTTGACATCGTGCAATGTGGCGCGTCGCCCACGATTTCTTATTCTCTCCTTTATCGAAACGCATCGAAACAAAGAACAAAGTGAAAAGGATAGGAAACTTAATAGATTTCTAGGCATTAAAGTAGTTATAATGGCTAAAATTGCTCTTTAGGAGGAATTTCCACGAGTAACCACGATGAGTCTAAAAGAAAAATAATTTAATTATCTTTTAAGAACAAAGTTGGTTACTCGTAGTTACTCGTGGCCAGTCCCCTCCTGACTTGATAATTTCTACTGTAAAGTACATTCTTCAAAGATCCTTATGGGTATATGGGCAACGAATCTACTGCACAGATTTAGCGATGCTATGCAGTTTTGCTGTGCGTTAGAAGTTGGAACATTTTTCCTGAAAATTCTCCTGCGCATAGCAATCATGGATATTTTATCGTCCATCCCACCCTTATCAAATAGCCAAACTTTGAATAAACACTTCGAACGTACTAGGGATATATTCAGATACAATATATTACCTGCCATTGATTCCTACCGATCACACTTAGTTACCAGAGGAAAATCAATCATTCGGTACGTGGGTATGCTGCGTAATTACTTGAAAACTCTACCGAGTACAAAGATTGTCAAAACTAATTTTCCCTCGAAAAACACAGGTTAGGGATTATATGGGTATCTTATCTATGTTCTGAAAAACGACCCGGTGTATATAGTAATCTCAACTAGTTACCGTCTCCTAACCGGTGCTAATAAGACAACAGTGCGTAGATTTCGATTCAGACAATCGGCGACAAAATGAGTTGAGACACTTCGCCCAAAACTGGGCTTTTTTACGTTTTATTAACTTGAAAGGGAGGAAATATAGCTTTCCTCCCCCATCCCCTCCGTGCAATGTTGTGCCTTTGTTCTAGCTACCTGTAGAAAACAACAAACACCCCAACTTTGAATGGAGGGGACACGGGAGGGGTGCGGATTCTTTTGTTCTCCGAAATTACCCTTGTCGCCGATTGTAGCTACAATGAAGGGCTGTCAGCGGGTCTCTTACAGCAATCTGCTAAGGGTTGGCAGCCAGTACATTTCATTAGTCGGCCACTGACTGATGTGCAAAAAGGTACACTCAGACAGAAAAAGGATGCCTTGTGTGTTTGTGTGTGAGATGGGCCAAAGATCTGTTCAGTATGTACCTTCAGGGTGGTCCAAGGTTTAATATCGTGACAGCACACAAGCGACTATTGCCTATGTTCAGCAAACCGTCAGTAAAGCTCCCCCTCGCATTGAAAAGTGGGTTTTGGACATGCAAGATGTAGACTTTGAAATGAAGTATGAACCTGGGAGAGATGAATTAGATCCTTTAGATTTCTTATCGAGACACCCATTGCCAGTCATTGGAAATGATGACACAGAGAAGGTATTGAAGGCAGCGATTACTACAGAGCATGCAGTGGTATTGGACAGGATTAGAGAAGAAACAAGTCAAGATAGAGTACCGCGGAAGTTGAGTTCAACCATCCGAAAAGGGAACTGGGAAAGCAACAAAAGGGATGCAGACTTGACTCCCTTCTACCAAGTCAAAGAAGAGTTATATGAGTCCCAAGGCATGATTTTTCGCATGGAGAGAATTATTTTACCAGCAAACCTACAGCAGAAAATCATTAAGTCAGCTCATACATTAGGACACCTTGGCACGACAAAAACGAAGCAGATGTTCAGTGAAAAATATTGGTTCCTGATCAGCCAAACAATTGGAAGCTGTTTTGACTGTCAAGTAGCCACTAAGAGTCACAGACAAGAGCCCATCAAGCCATCTGTTATTCCTGAAAAACCATGGGAACAAATCTCAATTGATTTCGGAGGACCTTACCCTGATAGCCATAACAATTTAGTGGCAACCCGGTATCCTGTGGTAGAGGTTGTGTCTTCAACTGGATTCAAGCAAACTAAGGAGAAGCTGTAAAAGACCTTTGCTTACCTTGGAATTCCTAGACGGGTAACTTCAGACAATGGACCACCGTTTAAATCAGGGCAATTTAAGGATTTTGCAAAGGAAGAAGGATTTGTACATCATCGAGTCACGCCAAATCACCCTAGAGCTAATGGGCGGGTGGAGAGATTTACGCAGACCCTTAACAAAACAGAACAAATTGCCCATCTGCAAGGGAAATCAGGACCAGACAGAAACATGGCTGTCCAGGATATGTTAAAGGCTTACAGAGACACACCTCACCCTGCGACTGGCATTTCACCTTATCAAGCTATGATGAAAAGGCCTGTCAGACCTAAGTTGGACTACACAGTGCCACGGAAGGAGAGAAGCAGCAGAGATAAAATGATGGATGCGAAGGACAGGCAGTACAAAGAGAAGATGGCAGATGAAGGTGGAAGCGGTAAAGAACACAATTTTGTTGTGGGAGATCATGTCCTGCTAAGACAAAGAAAGAGGAACAAATGGTCAACCCCATATGAACCTGTACTCTACACAGTGATTAAAATCAGTGGATCTGCTATTACTGCGAGACGTATTACAGATGGCCGAGAGGTTCGGCGAGATGCTAGTCAGTTCAAACTTGCAAATGTCCTTGTGTACCAGGAGAATGTATACCAGAGCGGTCAGAGTGAAGATTGGAGAGAGACACTTTTGATGGGTGCGGTTGACATGAAAGATGAACCCACTTACCAAAAGGATGTTGAGCAGGAGAACTTACTGGAACTACCTGAACAAGAGAAAACTGCAGAGCCAGTGCAAGAGAACCCCACCGAACAGAGTGGTAGTGGTAGCAGTCAACAGGAAGGAGGAACAACAGCAGTGAATTTTTAGGAAGTGGATATGCCAAGCCCGGCAGTCCTAGACACTTCTGCGCCATCCAGTAGTTCCACAAGACCCAGTAGACCGAAAAGGTCCAGGCGACGACCTGCATACCTGAATGACTTTATTGCTTGAATTATGACGAGATATGTGTACTACACTTACGGCAGCTTGGAATATCGAATAGGAACTGAATTGAACTAAATAGGATATGAACTGAATAGGTTTAAGACTGATATGGGTCACATGCACTGTTGTGTACCCTAATATAGTATATTTAGTTCACACAGAACATAGCGTACTCAAGGATAGCTTATGTTTATTTATTTGTCTTGATTTCTATTTCTCATAAGTTTTTTTTTTGTTGTTGTTTATATATCTCCATATCATTAATTGCACATAATAATAATTATATAGGTATCTTAAACTTGGGGGAGATGCTGTGACTAATGTTATATTTGGTGGCGTATATATGAAGAATTATACCTCGTGACTACTACATGAAGTGGGCCCAAGTCCTTGATTATATATGCCCGCACGTTTGTAATAAATACACTTTTCTTGCCGGTTTATACAATGTTGGTGTGAGTCGTAACAGTTTACCATGTTAGATTTCCGTTAAGCAATTCGGAAGTGCATTAGCAATTGTTCGGTGGGCCTGAATATCTAGATTTTTTAGATCCCTTTTACACATTCCACTGTTTCTTCTTGTTCTTTGGCGCATTTTGTTAAATTCCGTTAGGTGTAGAAAGTTTGAATAATTGTGGGCATCATCGCGTCTCCAAAAACATCGTTCAGCCATAAAAATTCGGTAAAGTGAACAGTCTTGTTTTAGTTTCTGTTTCTGTTTGTTTTTTAGCATGACAGATAGTACCCGTATTAGTTTAGTACAGCAGCCCCCCCCCCCCCATTTTTTGAATAATCTTCCATTATTAAAAGTAAATTTAATTATCCTCTCCCCTTGTGGGGCTTTTCAGCGATAATGAAACAAATAATTTCAACTGAACATAACATGGTTAAAAATCCAACTGGTAGGGGGCGAATCAGTTGCCTAATTTACAAGCATGCCGATGATTTGAACTCGGGACTACAGAGAACAAATCCAGCTAGTGGCCAAGGCGGGACTTGAACTCCGGGCCAGCGCTCTAACCGTTCGGCCTCCCTGAAGTACAAGTAAGGAATACTGTGACTTACGTTTTCTGATGTTTCGATGCTTTATCGGGTGGAGTAGAGCATAACACCTCTCTAGGCTGATGGCAGTGAGATTTAGGATCGAAGACACGCCGCAGATGACATCAAAAATCTTATAGAAATCAGACAAAGGACCTTTATAGTTATATGTTATAGATGAATAAACCCAGAGCGGCACAGAGATCATTCCTATCAGCATATCAGCGATGGCTAAGGACACCAATAGCAGATTGCTTGTCTTGCGAAGTCGTCTGTTAACGAGGAATGCACCGATAACTAACGAGTTTCCAAACACAATCATCAAGGCAAGGATGCAAAAGAAGACCATAGCAACGACGTCAACTTGGGGGAAAGGAGGAGGTTGGGGCCCAGGTCCAGCTCTAGTGCCATTTGTGCTGTTTGTCGCGTTCGTAAATGTGGTGTTGTTTAACATGGCGGTCTTCAGGTAGCCTAAATAATAAAGTAACACGAAATACATTTAGTGCGTAAAATGGATGAGACATATCAGAGATGGTTTCGATTCTGAACACTTCACATAAATATAAATATAAAGTATTAATTCACTGACTTGGCTCTGTGGTAATCAGTTTCCAAGGAGTACCCCTAAAAGTTCAATCCATTAAGTATTAGCAGGCGTAAGCTGAATTTGCTTATTTCTTCAAAGTAATGCCGTTAGTAATTTGTAGCAATTAATTTGTCACATTTCACTTCCTTAGTAATGCTGTAGCCTGCGTAGCAAGCGTTTCCAATTTAATCGAGTTATTGCGCGAAAGTTAGAGGGGGAGCAAAAAAAAAAAGGTAGAGAGGGGAGGGGGAGGGGAGAAGAGGAAACCGTCTTTGCCCTCTCCCTCCCCCGTCATGCCTTTTTTTTTTTGCTCTCGTCCCAGCTTTTCTCGGCGAACTCGCTTGCTACGCAGGCTAGTAATGCTGTTTTTCTGCTGTTTTTCGTAGAAAAACGAGACCTAAAACTTTTGGATTCAAAAATGTGATTGAGAGAGGAATCAGAAAAATTGTCATTTTTTTAAAAGGATAAATTGCATCTAAAATTTTCGGAAAATAATTCTGAAGCCCTTGTAATTTCGACATGTAAAAGACGCAAAGTCCCCTAGGGTGACCGAACACGATCCAATTTTATACCGCCGCCTAGAATGTTTTTCTTGAGATCTAAAACTACTCTGGATAGCCTGAAAAGTGTTTTCAACGTATTTAGAAGGAAATCGTCGTTGGGTGCCCCTGCCTAATGACCCCTGACTTTTCAGTTTGCAAATAATGCAGATGGTGATAGTCAATTGCAAAATTTATCTACTGAATATTGACAGGAGCCGATTACGAGTAAATCTGTAAGCGAAATGTGTTTTTTTTTCTCGTCAGTCATTTGTTGTAAAGCCATTGTCCTTTCCAGCGTTGGCAGATATGGCGGGCTGTTAAAAGTAAACTGTTTCCAGTGCAGATAATTTTTTCAAAGCAAAAATTATAACCATACAATGTAAGGTTGAAATGTTTTACAGAGAATTCCTAATTTGTCTGCTAGTGCGGATAGCCGGGCCCGTTAACTTTGGGAAATTCGTTTGAAGCGCAAATAAAATACTCAAGACAGTTCCCGTTATACATATGTTTTATCAAATTGCTTAAATATGTTATAGCTTGTGTCTCAGGAAAAACTTAATTGTAACACATAGCGAAATTTTTATCGCTTCTTTAAGCCAAAATTAAGAACTAGCTATGAACTTCTGTCAGTTGAAAGGGAATCCCCGTCTAAAATGTAGCTGTTCTTTCAGATCATTCTTAAGAGCGGATGTCTGTAAATATCGACCAGAAGTGGGAAAAATAAAATTTTTGAAAAATCCCAAAAAATTATGTAGACTACCCTAGGTATTCTAGTTATGAAAATATAAATTTAAGTTTCATTGGATAAATTTTTTGGCGATACGGCGAATGCCAATTTCGGGCGATTGACGGCCTCCTCGAGACCGCTTTTTCGAGCCTCTACACCGGGCTACAAAAAGACCACGATTTCAATCGAATTCAAGTATCATGCAACGCGAAAAGCTTCTTATCGTATTAAACGGGTTTAATACACATTTTAAGTGGTCATGTTGTTGAATTGATTGCAACTGGAATATTTTATGAATTTTTAAATATTTACAAAATTTTAAAGATATTACGCCAGCAAAATATTGTCCAATTTCAAAGGCCTAAAATCCCATCCGATACATGATTTTAAGCAGAAAAAGACGTTCCACATTAAAAAGCAATCTCTAAGCTTTCAAAATATGCTTTCAAAACTCTGGGCAACATATGAAATGAATTTTTGGGAACGCAAAGTTCACGGAGCATTTAAGCGTAATTTGACCTTTCTGACTTGACAGATAAGAGGTTCGGAGCTACACAAATCAATCCTCCAACAAATGTTTCAGCCAAAATACGTTTAATTTAAGCAATCTCAAGTCCCACAGTGATACATAGATGTTTTATATACATTAGGTGGAAAGTTTCATACCATTTTTTTCAGCCGTGAATGAAGAACTCTTATCCTGGCTTTCAGGTGCATTATTTGAACTCGCGTCGCCAATGTAAACATTTGGGTCAATTGAAGTTCTTACCAAAGTTTTCAAAATCTACACCAATTATCTGTCCTTTCTAGTATATAATCAGGTCTGCAATGTGTTTGTTTGTACCTAATGTGTCCTTGTTTGAATTCATTTCTGCTATGAAACTGAGACAAACCACAGCGACTTCCCGATCGCTCGACATATTACGTGCCACGTTAGCCTGAGATCATGCCCTCTCCCTTTTATCCCTTTATGACTCTCACGGGAAGAGGGCATGATACATTTCTTTGTCGGATCGCATGCAAAAAAGCCAGAATCTGGACTTTTTGCTGATTGGATAGGAAACAATAGGGATGATTTGCGCTATTCCAATTGGCCAAAATGCCGCCATCCGTTAGCGGTTGTTGATTTCAGTCTGCATTTTTTGCTTGCTTAATGAGCAGTGAATACACACGCGAGTTCGTTGTAAAATTTCTGCCGGCTCAGTTTCTTGAATTTGAAGAATGCCTAAATAGAAATTTCATCCCTTGAAATATTTTTCATCTCATCGTATACTAAAAATTGCAGTCAAAAATTCACCGATCATGTGAATGCAATTTGATACCGGTTACAAGTTACAGAAGCGACAAACGGGTTCACTTTTCAAATAATCAATTCATGAATGGAATCTTGACCTGGTTTGACTGTAATTCCTCCTTCAGAAACGTGCGAATTATTCTGAGCGATCTTCGCTTTCACAACACCTTTCAGTTCGTAAAATATGGTGCTTCAGCCTAATTTTTTTTCACCGCTTTCGGCTTAGAACGAAGTCAAGGAGCTTTAACCAGTAAATTCTTTATTACAGTCGAACCCCGCTATTTCGAACTCGGTTAATTCGAAGTCCCCGCTATTTCGAAGGAAGATCGAATTCCCTTGGATTTACCCTTATGTTTTCAGTCATTTACTATCAGCTATTTCGAACTCGGTTATTTCGAATTCCCCGCTATTTCGGACTAATCGTTCTTTCCCTACACCTTAAAATCAACCCCGTTATTTCGAACTTGTCAAAAACAGAGTACGAACATAAGAGCACAGCTGGAAACGTTTGCATTTTATTTAAGCTCGTGTTACGTGATTAATAACTTAACAATGCTTGACTCACGTGCAGTGTCCCGCTAAGAAATTCCAGCTGTGTTATTCAATTACAAAACCAAAACGCACTGTTAGAGAACTGTTCTTCCGGCTGAAATACTCATGCATGAACTCTGCTGTCTCTATTCTGATCATTCGACATTGTATTTTTATTTAATCAGTGCCTTTCTTCATACTGTACTGTATTTTATTAAAAAATGCTTCATTGTTATGAATTTTACGCTTCCCCGGGTATTTCGAAACCCCGCTATTTCGAACTTTTTTCCATTTCCCTTGGGACTTCGAAATAGCGGGGTTCGACTGTATTTGTAGCTGTTAAATAAAGGTACGGCAGCTCCAGCTAGCAGTATTTCATCGCAAAAACAACACATGTAAATTTTTTTTAGGAAGCGCCATCTGAACATGGACGTACTTCAAAATTTTCTTTTCCCTAAAAGACATTCGCGCCAAAATTTGATTCCCGTATGGTAAACGCTTATTGGCTAATAACATGACAGGTCAAGCAGACGTTAGATTATGTAAATTAGGGGGCGGTTAACGGCTTGTTAAATAAATGTATCAGGCGTTATTTTTTTTCCCTCTCGAGCCAAAGAAACGAAGAAGCAAAAAAAAAATAATAACGCCTGATCTCAGGTTAGTGCCACGTGAAAGAGCCGTTTTAGACTCGATTGCGTTACGTAAACACGACATAGTGATTATTTCTGATTGTGTGAAAAAAATTCTATCCCTAACCTACATGTTAAAGGTATGCCATTGAATGAGCAGACAATCTAATTTTTTTCTTTTTTACCGTGCAGTTTTATCAGCACAGACTTGTACGACCGAAAATTAGTGACGTGCCAGGTGCACGTTGGTTCGCCGTATTGTCAAAGAGGGCCATAATGTAGTTTGCGTATCGACGAACTTATCATGGTTTGGAACTTGCGTAGGTGCCTGCTCTTGCGCATCTTCGAACTCTTTACAGAAGAACCAGTGTAACACGAACGAACCTTTATCTGCCCCGCCCCTGGTCTGTCTCCGGCAGGTTCATTCCCTGCTTTGACACGCGCATAAACGTTGCAGAGTAGGTCCCCTCATCGTAGCCAATCATATTTTTTTGGGCGGGGGGCAGGGGCGGAGGGCGAAAGAAGAAGTGTCGAGGACGCACGATGAGATAAAAGAAGAGGAGTCCTCCTCTCCCATTCGCGTGTTCCTCTTGCGCGGCCTAGAATGCTACGTAGGCTAAGCCAAACAGCGCCTGCTTCATAATTTCTAAAAAAAGGGTAAAGCAACCATATTTAACGTCGATAACTCGTGACAGTAATAACTGATCAACTTGAGGTCGACGGTGCTCTTAGTTTACCCTCCCCTCTCGCTCTCTCTCTCCATCAATGTTCCAGTTTAAGGGCAGTTTAAATCTAGTCAAAGCTACACAGAATGGAGAGAAGTTGAAACAAGAATGATGTCACCGGGGATCGAACTCGGGACCTCACGCACCGAGGGCCGCGCACTAAACCAACTCTGCCACCCTTGCTGATTGCTTGAGGTGGATTACAATAATAACGATAACAATAATATTAATACTGTATTTCATAATAATAGTAATAATAATAATAATAATAATAATAATAATAATAATAATAATAATCAGAAACGCATTATAGAGTGTAATACATTTATAGCTCTAGCTTGCAAACAACCGTCCCACGCTTTTGAACCCCATTCATTAAAGATAAATCAACGTTGGAGGTAATAGGTATTTTTTATCATA